GCCGGGGACCCGTGAGCTTTGTGTGGACCCCGAGGTAGGCGGGAGCCGGGTGGGGGGCCTGGCGCGGGCGAAAGTTGGCGGGTGGGCCCCGAAGTTGTGGGGAAAGGCCAGCACTCCTTCGGTCCTCCTTTCCGGGCGAAGCGCTTTGGAATTGCTCCTAGGGGATCGTTCCCCAACCCCACGAATCAGGGGCGGCCGTGACGCCGAGGGAGAGCGACCCCGGGAAGTCCGTCCTGGCGGGGGGCGAGGAGGAGTAGGGGAGCCTCGGGGCTGCGGGAGGGAGCCCCGCCACTCCCCTCCAGCCTCCCCGAACTGGAAGGGGCCGAGCGGGGCCGGGACTCTGGGTGTCGGGAACTCCGACGGAGGTGAGGGCGCCGAGGCTGGGATGGGAGCCTTCCCTCGGGCTGGGCGGTCCCCACGCCGAGTTCGGGACCCCTCTGCGCCCTCAGTGCGCACCCTGGACCCCGGGGCTCGAGCCCAGCCGTAGACGGTCACCTGTTCTCCTGGAGCTGAGACTGCAGCGGACTTAAAAGTCCGAGGCTACAGTAGCTTGGAAAACTTGGGGATGTGGGACTCAGAGGCTGGCCTGGCTCACCCGTTCCTTCAGCCCGCGCCCCGCCCTTGGGCACCTTCCAGGGGCCTAAAAGTTTTGCCTTAGAGGGGTGGGAGGTGGGAGGGGGCCAGGGGACCTAACTTGGTAGGTCTCGGGGATGCTGAGCCTGGGGACAAAAATGGGTGCGTAAGCCGCTCTGGGAAGCAAGTCACCCAGGGAGGGTCCGAGAAAAAGAGGGAGCCCCTGCGAGCAGAGGGAATGACACGGTGGCTGAAACAATGGGCTCCCCCAGCAAAGACGTGAGAATGGGCCGGGCCGGGCTGGGTTTCGTTCCGTGGTACTCGGGGTCTCTGAGTCGCAAGCCTCCGGCCGCGGAGGGGTAGGCGAGAGTTGCAGACCCAGGGGTACCCTCAAGAGGAGAGACCTTCGGCTGCAGGGGTGACCTGGAGTCGCCTGGCTGGGATGTGGTGTTTGCTTGTTGGGGGCTGAAAGCCGGGGAGCTGGGGGCTCGGAGGAGGGGTGCGGGGGGCGGGTCCGGGCGCAGAGGCGGGGAGAGTCGCGCTGGGGAAGGTGGAGGGCGCCCTCTGCCGGCCCAGCGGCCAGGCACAGCTGTGGGTAGGGGAGCAGTCAGGACCGGCTTTACGGGGTCCCCTTGGGAGTTGTCAAAGGACTTGTTGAATGATCCTTGTGCATCCTGCTTCCTGGGGCAAATGACTCGCGACGGATATTGACTCTTGGCGCTTCTTTGATGACAAAACCCAAAGTGTTGATCAGGTGGGACGAGCTCTGATAGGCCACTGTGAGAAGCCTATCTAGTGGGTGAGATGCCACCTGCATCTAATTTAGGGTCCTCCGGGCATTTGGGGCTGGAAGCCACGCGAAGGCAGTGCGTTCAGAGGCGTTTTGAACTCACTTCTCAGTACCAGCAGCCATCAGTGAAGATTTTTCTGACAAGAATGCAAGAATTTTCTGGCCAGAAGCTATATATATATGTATATAAGCTATGTATATATATACATATACACACATATATATTCTAAATTTATATATATTTATATATATTCTAAATACTTAAATTTATATAAATTCTAAATACTTAAAAATATATATTTCCTGAGCTTTTATTAATCTGCCCAGTACAGATCTCTGTGAAGGAAAAGCAATATATAACTAAGAATGTTGATAAGTAGTTACACATGGTATTAAGAAGAAAGCCCTCCCCCAAACTGGATCAACTTCTTGGAAAATAGCCCCCTTATTTTTATCCAAAATATGTATTTTATGAGTTTGTTAGAAGTTCAAACAACATGTTACTCTTCTATTTGGAAGTTGGTTTTACATTTTGTTATTGAGGAATACGTATAGATTTAATTAGGCTACTCATGGGCACCCTCCATGTTTACTTCATGCTGAGATTATGACACGTGGTGCTTCAGGCTTTTGCACAGACTAGATCACATGTTGGGTAGGAAATTAAGCTAGAAAGTGTTGACACTGGGAAAGGCAACCCTTTGGAACAAGAACTACCTCTTGTTCCCTAATTCTGCAAGTACTTTGCTTGAGAGACTTTTTTTCCCCTTCCCCTTTTGTAAGTTTACCTCTGGTGTAACAGAGGTAAGAGAAAGGAAAGAGACACTTGTTGAAATGTAACCATAACATCTCCTGGAATTCAAAGCACGTTGGTTACCATTACTGGAATTCCAGGGCTATAAAGTTGTCTTGTTTTTCTTCAACTTTATTTTGCAAAATGTGATAAATAGCGGCAAATATAGACCAGTAATCAGTGGTATGACACCAGAAGCATTATGTATATAGAGCTATTTTAAGTTATTACAGAATATTCTCTATTTATAAATGATATAAGCAGGAAGAAATTATTTCCAGATAAACAAGACTTTCGTACATGTTTTGAAGCCTTAGAACATTGCAGACACACTGAGACATCACTTCTTTTTTTTTTTTTAAAGCAAAACAGCAATAATTTCTCACATACCTTTAGAATCTTTCATACTCCATTCAAAGCTGTTATTAGTCCCTGGAAATCATGGTTGTTTAAAAGTAATGTGTAAGGTCATTTTCATGTTGAAATGGATAGTAGTAGATTCAGATATGAATATCTAGAAAGTCAAGCAGTTAGGACGTCTCTTTTAGAATGTCCTTTTCAAGGGTTGTAACTTTTACTTGCAAAAAAACAAACAAGAAAATGATCACTTTCCTAGAATGCAGTGATCACTCCAAGCGATTCCTTTTCCTGCCGTGTGAAGGAATTGCATGACCCTCACAAAGGCTCAAGTGGCTCTGGGTGTTTGCTGACGTGCATTTTAAATGGGGAGAGGAGAGGAAGTCCTGTGGATCATGCAGATTTCTGAAATCCTGCCTGGTCTCTGCCTTTTTTGTTTAATAGCAGTACCATTAGAATATAATCTATTCCCTTCTTCCTGGAATTGTTAAGAGCCCCAGCTTTTCAATAGTCAAATTGAGAATGATTGATAATCTTCCTAACATAAATAGCTTTGGTTTGTAGCTCTGCACATGAGCAAGCTGAGCCCGCCCACCTAATAGTATAGCGAAGAGTTTGTTTACATCCCCCCCCTTCATCTTTAAAGCCTTCTGTAAATATCCTCCCTCTCCCCCCCACCTCTCTCACTCACTCACTCACTCACTCACTCACTCACCCCCACCCCTTCTATATCCAGGTAGTGAAATTGTGTGCTGTAACACAGCTAGCAACTTTGTGTCTCTGCCTTAGACTGTGTCTACTAAGCAAAATGTCTACAAGTCGTTCATTAACCTTGTAAGGCTCTAGGAACTTAGTCTCAGAGTAAAGCAAAGAACAATTGTAGACTTTCTGAACGACAACAGGGAGCACGAGCATTCAGGATAGCTCTATCCTGAGTATCTTTTAAAGTGGAAGACACATAGGACACCTCTTTTGGGGGTGATGGGAATGTTCCAGAATGGATTGTGGTGATGACTGCCCCCATCTGTGAATGTACTAAGAGCCATTGAATTGTGTGCTTTCTGTGGGTGAATCGTATGGCACGTGGACGGTATCTCAAGAGAGCTGCTTCAGAAAGAGATGAAAGAAGAAAGACACTCCCTCTTAGGATGTCCTTAATACTGACTTCGTTTTTTAATGCAAATACAGGATTTCTCACTTGCATGCCCCGAGAAGATTTCAGTGTGCTTGAGGGGCTAGCCTAACCCAAAGCAAGCAAATCTGTCCCTTTAATGGGGTAATTGCTAACTTGTCGGGACTTGTTTTCAAACAATTGTTATGGAGCACTCCGTTTCCACTAATTGCAAAATTGCTGCTTAATTGAAGGACTCTCAGGCATCTAGTGCAGCCATTCAGCCCCTGGCAGGCTCTGTGAGCTCAAGCTGTGAATTGCATTTTAAAGAGGAATCAGGGGAGAGAATTCTTT